GAGCCAGGACTGAGCTGTCCCAGCTTGTGCAGGCTCCAGGTGCGCTGTGCCTCTGCATTTTAAATATAGTAAGAGCTGGACGGCTCTTACTACATTTAAAATGCAGAGATGCAGTGGTCCTGGAGCCGGAACAAGCTGGGACTGCTCAGTCATAAGAATATAAGAACGGCCGTTTTGGGCCAGACCAAAGGTCATCTAGCCCAGTATCCTTTCTTTCAACAGTGGCCAATGCCAGATGCCCCAGAGGGAGTGAACAGATTGGGGAATCTTCAAGCAATCCCTCTCCTATCACCCATTCCCAGCCTTTGAAAGAGGCTAGGGACATCATTCCTACCCATTCTAGCTCATAGCCATTGATGGGCCTAACCTCCTTTCTTGAACCCTGTTAAAGTCCTAGTTTTCACAACCTCCTCTGGCAAGGAGTTCCACAGGTTGACTGCACTGAGTGAAGAAAAACTTCCATTTGTTTCTTTTAAATCTGCTACCTATTAATTTCATTTGGTGACCCTTAGTTCTTATGTTGTGGGAATAAGTAAACAACTTTTCCTTATTCACTTTTTCCATGACAGTCATGATTTTGTAGAGCTGTGTCATATCCCTTAGTCTCCTCTTTTTCTAAGCTGAAAAGTCCCAGTCTTTTTAATCTCGCTTCATATGGGACCCATTCCAAACCCCTAATCATTTTTGTGGCCCTTTTCTGAACCTTTTCCAATGCTGAGATATCTTTTCTGAGATGAGTCGACCACATCTATATGCACTATTCAAGATGTAGGTGTACCATGGTTTTACATAAGGGCAATAAGATATTCTCTGTTTTATTCTCTATCCCTTTTTCAATTATTCCTAACATTCTATTAGCTTTTTTGACTGCCATTGCACATTTAGTGGGTGTTTTCAGAGAACTATCCACAACGACTCCAAGATCTCTCTCTTGAGTAGTAATAGCTAAATTAGTCCCCATTATATTATATGCATAGTTGGAATTATTTTTTTCAATATTTTTCTCTTACTGTGTTTTTTTAATGTGGGGTATACATTTAAGTTGGGCATCTATTATGGTGTCCTTGAAAAGTTTCCATGCAGCTTGCATGTTGGGACTTTACTTTTGCCATTGTACCTTTAAATTTATTTAACCTCATTTTTGTGTAGTTTCCCTTTCTGAAATTAATTGACACAGTACAGTGTTGGGTTGCTGAGGTGTTTTTCTCACTACGGGGATGTTAAATTTTATTACATTATGGTCACTATTTCCAAGGGATTCAATTATATTTACTCCTTGGACCAGATTCTGGGCTTCACTTAAAACTAAATCAGAAATTGACTCTCCCTTTGTGGGTTCCAGAACCAGCTGCTCCAAGAAGCAGCTCCAAGAAGCTTGCACTGGGTCCCACAGCCCCTGTTTATGGCAGCCAGGGCT